AGAGACAATGAGCTGGGGCAAGGTGTCTAACAGGGTATATACCCTGGCAAGCTGCAGTTACATATGAAGCAATTTAACACCTCTAGTAAACATTTATAAACTGAGAAATTATTCCCATATGGGGGATGATCTAACATTGGTTTTTTCACTGATATCTCCCCTCTCTTCACCTGCCTGTCCCTGTCCTCAATTTTTTTTTAATAGTTTTTTTAATTTTTCTTTTAGCAGGAAGTACAAAAGAGACAGTGGAGTGTGATGATTATGTATTTATTCTCAGTTACTTCCACCTCAGCTCCTGCTGCTAAACAGCTGCTTGGAGGCCTACTTCTCCCCTTGGGGTTTGCTGATGTCCCAGATGAATAATGTCCCCCTTCACCTCCCCAGCAGCTGGCGCCCAGCCGACATGCAGGCAGGATGCTGACAGTTATCAGGAAAACATTTGGCATGCAGGCAGCTGCCAGAAAGAAAAAGTCACTCTGAGCAGACCAGGGTGGGGAGCATTTCAGCTACTAAACTACTCCCTGACCCTTTTTGCATTTACAGTAATTATTTCCAGTAAGGAATAAGCCGCCAGGGTCTAGAGCACTCAATAATTAGTTAATCCAGGATTAAATACAAGAATGATTCAAAACTTTTGTACATTGTTTCAGTCTGGATCAGCTATTTTTTTTCAATCAATCCTGCCATTATTTGTCTCCTTTCCACATGGGTTTTTACTAAGGCTTCTTCCAGAGAATGGCAATCATCCTAATGTCACCTCAAAGTTAGCCCTAAATGAGCATGGTGTTGGGCCAGATGGTTTCCAAAGATCCTCTCCAACCTAAATTATTCTATGACTTTATTCTGTGATGTTGGGAAGTATTTGGATCACCTTTGTAAAAGCTTAGGATCACAAGCATTTTGAAGGCAAATTGGTGTTGGCAGGTGTAGTTTTTACTACCTTCAGGCTTTGTCTGAGTCCACATGTTTTCCTTGTCAATGCCAATCTGTTTAGAAGTAAAATATATGGCAGACTTTTGAGACTGCCAGACTACAGTTCAGAGAATGTGTTACTTGATTTAATGGTTAGCTGAGCATTGACCTGTGGCTGAGAAGCAAATCAGAGCATCTTCCAGGCTGTCCTCATCTGCCTACAGTGGTATTGGTCCTACTGCAGCTGTGATTCCTGGCTCCTGCTGCTTTTGCTGCACTAATCTCCCACACCTCCCCTGTTTTTTACTCAGCCATTCTCTATTATAATGTTAATAAAAAAAAAAAAAAAAAAACCTGCCTCTCTCCTCCAGCCTAGTAAGGAGAGATTATTCTTTATTCTATGTTGCTTTCTTTTTTTCTAAAACCAGCCCTGTGTTATCTTATTTATACAAGCAGTCACATTTGTTCTTTCTTTGAATAACTTCAGGCTTTATTAATATACTAATATAGCAGGCTTTATTTCTTTCTGTAGAAAATATGACATGAGGTTTTGACTGAAACGACTTTTTATTTTAGCGAATTTTCAACTTTACTAAAGCATCAAACAGAATGTTAAATCTAACACTGAGATAGGGGAAAATGTCACTGATTTCATATTAATTTTCAGTAATTTAATAACAATGCTATTAACACCGAAGCAACACACAAAAAGATCTTGTTTCTATTTGTAAATGCCACTTTCTATTAGGTGTCAGACACCTGAGGCACTACATTTTTTGAGGGATTTTTTGCACTTCTTGGGCAAAAGTTGCTGCCTCTTATGGCTTGGACTTGTGCCTCAGATGCTTCCCTGAAGGCTTCATTAATTGCCAGTAATGCAAAACTTGTTGTATCATTTTGTTAAATTATGCAGTTCTCTTCTTCTCTCTGTCATGCCAGGTAGGAAAGGCTTTGGAAGGGAATTTAGTCAGAGTGTCTTGATCCCTGGGAAGTATCTGAAAGCTGAATGAAGTCTCCTAGAACAATGCAGGGTAGCCAGAACCTGAAATGAGGATGCTGCCTTCAGTGTCCTGGGAAGATCTTTTTCTATTGACACAAAGGGCAAAGTGTCTTGTAAGACTGTCAGTCTTCTAAAAAGAGAGCAGGAGAGCCCATCCTACTCCAACAACACCAGGAAAAAGCTCTCTCACCCATCATGGTGCTGAAATGTAAAGCACCCTTTGGCTGTAAGTGATTATGCACAGTGAGAGGGGTCATACAGAAGAATTTTGACAATCACAGAATTGGTTGGGAAAGACCTCTGAGAGCATTGATCCAGCCATTAATGAGCACTGCCATTTTCACCACTAAATCACACCCCTAAGTGCCATATCCACACACCCTTTGAACAGTTCAAGGGGTGGTGACTCAACTACTTCCCTGGGCAGACTGTCTCAATGTTTGATAACCCTTTCCATGAAGAAATTTTTCCTGATATCCACTAAACCTCTCCTGGCACAACCTGAGGCCATTCCCTCTTGTCCTACACCTTGTTACCTGGGAGAAAAGGCCAATCCCCACCTCACTACAACACATTCCAGCACCTCATGTCTTTCTTTCGGTGAGGGACCCAACACTGAACACAGGATTTGAGGTGTGGCCGCCTCACCAGTGCTCAGCACAGGGAGACAATGTAATGTGTTGATCACACTATTTCTGATGCAAATAGTGTATTCTTCTGTGTTCTTTCTTTATGCCCTCAAATCGTTTTGTGCTTCAATGAGAAAAGCTGAAGGACCAGGAAGCAAGCCAGAGTTATGGCTACATGCAGAAATAAGAAATAGGAGATCTCTTTAAGGCATGAAACCTCCCAGCAGGAATTGTTGTAATCATCTTCTCTACCACAAAGCAGGCTGGGGAGCTGCTTTCTGCACAGAAATGTTATTGGTTGTTATTCGTTTTGCTGCTGGTCTCCCTTTCTCTGTACAGGCTCTGGTGCTCTTCAGCTGATGTTTATTCTCAGCTAGTCCCAGGCCTGGCACTCCACTGCCTTGTTCTCAGTATCCATGGGAACATTCACATTGTTCAACAGCTCAAAACAGGGATTCAGTGTCCACCTTCGCTTTAGAGATTCACTCCTCATCTGCTGCATGAGAGAGTGCCCTGCCTTCCTACAGGACACAGAGTTTGAGAATAGGCTTTTCTACATTACTTCTGTATTCTTGTGTCCATCGTCTAAGTGGAGAAACTCTTTCTTTGCCAGGAGCTGAAAAGACAAGAGCTTTTTTCCTGAGCTTTTGGCTGGCAAAAGTAAAGCAAATGAAGGCAGTTTCCCAGCCACCCTGTGTCCTCCCCCTCTCAGAAAGCTGGATGAAGAGAGACATGTCCGGAGCTCCCGCCTCTCCAGGCACCACAGCTGTTCAGTAACTCAGCACAGGTACCGAGCCCTGGTCCTGAGTAGTGGTTAATCCTTCTTGGGGACCTGTGCCTTCCTCCAGGGTGCTTTCTACACAGCAAGTCCAGCAGAATGGAGCAGCTCAGATTTTCTAAAATTTGTATCCACTTGCTGTTTCTCAGCAGAGGTCACCGCTTGCCTCATCCCCATTGATACCAGGGAGGTCCCTAAATCAGCTGCAATAGCACAGCGATAGCACAGCCCTCATGGTGCTCATTATGCATCTTGCTGCTGGAGGAAAGCACCACCTTTGGTGCCAAGTACATTAGAGAACATGCCTAGGTTTAAAAAACTCCATGGGAGGGAATCACAACATTTCTACATTTCTACAAGAGCTTGGCCTCTTGCACCACAAAAGCTGAGCATGCTCCTCACAGTGTCTCAGGCGGGTGATAACAAAAGTCCAAGGTCAACAAACAAAATGAACAGCTTTAAAACAACAAAGCTGTGCTGGGGTTTGTGTACAGTGTTTGTTGCCACAATCTGGCCCAGAGTCACCATCTCACATTTCCCTGCCAGAATGATGGAAATATAAATAGGGGCTATAAACCCAAAGTATTTCCAGCTCATACATCCAAAGGATAGAAATTACAGTCTTTTAGCAAGGAAAATATTGGAGGGTAGTGAGGTAATGGGACCTGGTTATAGAGCTCATTTCTCTGAAAATCTTTAATACAGCATGGAAATTTTTCAATGTCCTTGATGCAACCTCTCTTAACTTGTAAAATAATCCCTTCTTTCCGTGGAAAAGCCCCTTCCTTTGAGAATGAACTGCTGAGCACCATTTTGGGAACCATTTCTTTCCAGCTGCTGTTTCCAGATATTTTTGAATGGCTTTGAAGACGGAGTGTCAGCAAGGAATAAAATCTGGCTGCTTGAAAGATAATCCATTGCCTGCTGGCTTACCTAGAAAGGGCCTCACTTTTCTGTGCATTAGCTGAGGGCTGCTGCTGTTGAACCATAGGAGTCCAAGCTCCACTCTTGCTAAATAATATTCTGGAAGTCCATGCCACGAGCCACAGCAGCGTATGAGGGGCTCTGCTCATTTGATTAATTACATTGCCATGCCTGCTCTTCACTTGTTGACTCCCAGCCATAAAAGCCGGGGATGTGCTGCGTATGTAGTAAACAGATTAAAGGGGGAATGTGTGTCAATGTATGGATGTGTATGAGAGCTTTTTGAAATCCTTTATGATCTTCCCACCCACTGGGCATTGCTTCAATACGGAGCTCAATCGTCAGGAAACAAACTTGCTCCCTCATCTGCGTTGCACATTGCAACAAGCTTGCCAAGTACGGCCAAGTTTTTAGAAACAAAAGAGAATCCCCCCACCAGTGAATTTATGACCCTTGGCTCTGCTTGTGGCTTGTTCCTGTGCATGCCTGAGTGACATGAAACTGCAGAAAATCTGTTTGGCCTGTTTCTATGCTCTCACACTTGCAGCTACATTGGATTTTTCCGTTTTTATAAATGACTAGGGGGTTTTGTTGGGTTCATTACATTATAACACAAGCAATACACCATGAGAGGCCCAAGAGAAGAGCCACACCTGTTAGTGAAAAGAAAGGGGAAGGATGGAAAAGAAGCAAGGAGTGGTAAGAAGTGCTTCTGGAGCATTTGAAAGTAAAACACCATTCTCCTCATCTCTTCCAGGTCTTTCAAGCCGGATTTTGTCCTGATTCGCCAGCACGCCTACAGCATGGCACTGGGGGAAGACTTCCGCAGCCTCATCATCGGCCTGCAGTACGGCGGCGTCCACACGGTCAACTCCGTCTACTCCATCTACAACTTCTGCAGCAAGCCCTGGGTGGTAAGTGGTGATGCAGCTCCGCTGCCTGTCAGCACTGCAGAGGGGATCTCTGGCACCAATAGAAAGCCCAGCTCGCCTTCCAGGAGTTTCAGAGGAGTTGGTCTCTTTAGGTTAAAATCTAAACAACCTTAGGAATACAGATGGGAGCTGTTGGAGGAAAAAACCTACCAGCACTACTTCTTTACCAGCCTCCAGTTGTATCAAGGTGCTATTTCTTCACCCTGAGCAGGATGTTTCCCTTGTCCCAGACTCAAAAGGATCACCAACAGCTGACCGTGCAGCAGCACCTAGGAAGGAGGAGGGAAGGTCCCTGGGAAGGACCCACATGGGAAGAGGTAGAGAAAATCTGTCCAGTCAGGGTCAAATCACCACACATGCAGTTTCTCAACAGTCCCAGAACTAAATGCAATATTATTATAAAGTGTTGGTTCATTGAACCTGAAACACTGCACCTTGCAAAGACTTAGGCTGGGTCAGCTCCTGATGAGGACAGGGCAGTGTTTTGATTTTGCACTGGAAGATCCCTTTGCCCATTCTTTAAATTTTGTCAAGTTCACATGAAAATCTCAGAAAACCTTGACAAATATTATCACTGTATTTTCTTAGCCCCAAATCCTCAGACCATTTCTATGACCAGCTCCAAGGCAGCTGTGCCTTCAGAAGCAGGAAAGTTGAAGAGATAAGTTGACCATGAGCCACAAGAGTAAGGCCAGCCATGGCAGCACCTGCAAGAGGGAGTCAGATCCTGATACCATTTTGGAATTGGCGTATGGGTTTTCCAAGCAGTTTTGTCCCAAAATATCTTCTCTGATCACTGATGAATTGAGATCATTTTCCTGCATTCTTCAAAGCAACAAACTACAGCTATATGGATGTGAGAAGGAGATGGGGCTTTCCAATATGACACCATGGAAAACTTTTAGATGCGTTTTCAGGAATTCCCTTACTCACTGAACAAATTGATCTTGGGGTGAGATGAAATTTTTGTAGCAAATGATTACTATCTTCCTCATCACCTAATTAAGTGGGGGTTTATTTTTGTTTTTCTCCTTGGAGTAAATATCCTAGTGGTCCCCAGTGTGTTGGTTGGTAGCTCAAGTCCAGATGAGGTCTCAGACTTTTATTTCCATGATTGGGCAGTGTTGGATTTAAGTAATTTCTTAGTAAAATGGGCTGGTGTAATAAACAGAGTAATTTCATTTTTCACCCCTTTTACAACATTTTTGGGGTTTGTTGAGACCAAAAGAAACATCATTTCCAAAATTGCTGTCATGCAATAATCAGGGTGGTGAGAACAATCTCACTTTGCCATCACTGTATAGGTGGTCAATGTACATTTGACTTCAGTTCCCATTTGATTTTTCACTTCCAGGCTCAGTACCACACCTCCACACTGTTTCTGACAGTTGGTCCTACACACAAGTGCATTGGCCCTGTGACCAGACAAAAAGCCTGCACATTTACACTGCCTTTTGCTGACAGTCATGTAGTTCATTCCATTTGATTTTGGGGCTGAGTCAGTCAGGGCTTAGTCGACACTTTGCAACTCATGCCTTGTAATTACGTTTCTAATGTTCTGAAGGGGTCTCAAGATATGAAAGGTCTATTTTTAGACAGCTAAAATAAAAGAAAACAAACAAACAGCACATTAAAAAAAGGAAAAAAAAAAAAAAAAAAAAAAAAAGCAGTGCTGGAAAGGCAGTGTGGGAGAACTTGGCTCTGCCAACAGCTTGGCTCTAGCTACTCTGCGTCTGGTTGTGCCATGCTTTCCTCACAGGGAATACAGCTGGCACAGGCAGCCTTCCCAGAGGAGTCAAGGAAACCACTTGCAAACAATTTAAATAGGTTTGCAGAATGTCTCCTTTCCTTGCTGCCCCTGCACACACATCACCTCCAAACCAGTGATTGTAGCGTGCTCAGCAATCTAAGATTGTATTGAATGAGCAATGCTCAGATGGTATTTAAGCTCATGTAGAGATTGCAGTGGGGTATTTGAGGGCAAAAAGCTTCACTGGCAGCAGAACCAGAAAAATTTTGTTTTTGTGATAGCCGGGAAGTGAGAGATAGGGACACTTCGGTGCACGTTCCACTTTGATTGCAAAACAGGCATCTTGAAATAAGGGATCTGCATAACAAAGATTATTGGAAACCTTTTGAATCTAGAAAACAGTTGAGATGCACGAAGAAATGAAATTAAATACCCCTGGGAAATGTGCTTTTCACTCTCATTTTTTATTTTCTCCAAAAATGATTCCATTTCGTAGAAATGTTTATGATTTTGTGGAGGGAGATGAAATTGAGAGTGCTTTTCCTTGGCAGTTTGCAACCAGTTTTATTCTCAGCAACTCTAATTGCAATCAGCTGAGTTTGGGTTTGAGTTTACTCAAATATGCAGCCCCATTTTTAATGACATTTGCCAGGTTTCCACTTCTGCCATACAAAAACTTCTTCAAAGATTAAAACAGATTAAAAATTTGAATTGGATGTTTCTGAGAGAAAAGAAAAAGTATTCAGGGGGTCTCACGCTTTGAGAGAAACATCTAAGAAATCTAAGATGATCCCAGAACTATTGAGAAATAATACTACAAGCACACTAAGCACAATGCTTCAATGACCAATAATAATTTCTTTGTTAGAATTCTAAGTTGCAGTCCAAAATACAGTGGGAAGAATGCTCAGAGTAGTACTCACACTGCATGCAGGTAGTTGCAAAGCAACTTCTGCATCTGTAAGGCAGCAGAAAGCATAAAGTTTTTCTGACAGTTCCCCCATGAGTCCAGGGACTCCTAGCCAAACTGTTATTGACTGTCAAGGGATATAGGCTCCCTGATGACCTAGGCACTTTCAAAATGTGTGAAAGGTCTTAAGGTGCTCTGAATGGATCCTTTTATTTCTCTGTAAAGACTCCCTGCATGTAACTCTGATCTCCAAACAGTCAGGCCAAGGCATTTCCCTTGCCTGCATGTTCCAGGTACCTAAAACCAGGCTGTGCCACTCTGCCTTGCCCCATGTGTTATCTGTGGTCTGGATGCAATCTCACTGAAACCAGTGGAAGGACAGAAAGCCAGAACTGCTGCCAGCATGTGGAAGGTGTGGTTATATTTGCAGAGCTACTGACAACAACGTTCCTACCCATCTGCATGGGGAGATGTTACTCGAGCTCTGTTATCAGGTATCTCAGAGGCTGCTGCAGCACGTAACGTGGGAGTCTCTTTGTCAATATCCTGTCCCTAACAACTGGTAAAAAAAGAGAAATTGGGAGGGAACTGTCCCATGAGGGGCAATACCAAAGTCAGACCTTTTTGCAGGCTTGGCCCAGTGACGAGGCTCCCAGATGTCTGAATCTCTCATCTGAAACCCTCGCTATCTCAGCAACAGCCAAGAGCTGTATGCTTCAAAAGGAACATGTCAGAACGTTGTCTATCAGCTGCACAGTTGTTCCAGTTATTTTGTTTGAACTGTTTTCCCAGGATAACTGTACATTGCCTCAACATCATGGTGTCCATGGTTCACCAGGGCTGCGTGCACACACAGCAAGGGGCATGGGCTGTTCTCAGCCAGAGTGTTTTTCCTTCTCTCCCTGTCTCTGGCTCATTGTGTTTAACTTTTAAGCCCTGTTTGCTCACCTTGCTAGTCAAAACAGGGCTTTATTTTTCTTTTCTAGAATGTGCAGGGCTAGTGCAAGTAGTTGAGAGAAGCAAGCTGTCCTCCTTGCCAACAATAATTATTCTACATTGGGAGTTTTTCCTCTTATCTGCTGATGCATGTGAGGGTGGTGGTGGTGTTAGTGATGGGATATGTTGCCTCTTGATGTTTCCTGGATTTTCTTTAAATGCTGTGTTTTGAACTATGAGATTAGGAAAAGGATTCTTTGCATTTGTCTGCAAATCTGCTGGCAGCTGCCTCTTCAGCATTTGACCTGGGTCTGGCACAGACCTTGCAGCCTAATTTTTTTTTCACAGTGACAGCATGCCAAGATTTAACTCTCGAAGGGTTTGTTCTTCTCCACCAGCAAATGAAGTTTCAACTTCTTATGCAGCAATTCTTTTGGAGTCCTTAGACTAGCCCAGAAACCAGGAGAGGAGCCTTAATAGGGCTACTCAGCAGAAAACATCCTCAGTACCTCTCTCTATCTGCAATGAAACCTTGGTGTTGTGATTTGGTGCTTTTACTGGCTCCAGCTGTTGCCCACAAGTGCTCAGAACATGCAAGACTAAGCAGCTAGTGCTATTGGGAAGAAAGGGAGCTTTCTTTTCTTTCCCTTCTTCCCTAGATGTCTGTTTCCTTCCCTTAGGTGGCACAGGGATCTCCTTCAAGATTAACACATCCCTACTTTTGATGGGCAACTTGAGAAACTCATGCAAAGACTTAAAATCTGTCCTTTCTCAGCCCAGGGTGGAGACCTTTATTAATTAACTTGATTTTACCTGATTCTGAGGGGCTTGGAAACTGAATTCAATTCATAAACTACGTTGTGAATAGGACTCAGTGGGGAACCCAGTCCTATCTACCAGCTCAGCAGGAACCAATCCCCAAACACTTTATTCTCTTATGTGGCTGCCAGTCCAACCACTTCACCAACAGTCGTGCCAGTTCAGCACTCTGTGGTAACTGTGTCTAAGCTCCTCCTGAGATTCTGGGATGTGCATCACTCTTACTCTCTTTGGTATATGAACCCTACTTCAGAAATATTTTCTGTCATGGTTATTAAGTTTCTCCGTTATAGTTTTGATTTTTTTCTCTGGGTGATGAATGATGGATCTAACAAGGAGGCTGCAGACAACATACAGAATAGTCTGCTTGATTCACAGATGGCTGAAGAGGAGCAGGAATTTGCTGTGATGTGCTACACTTCTGTCGGGGCTTTGGAACCTGAACAGAAATCAAAAATCGGTCCTACCATGGGGGGAGCTTTGTATCTGGTTGGGCATAACCCTGCATGATAAAAGGGTTTATAATGGTGATGATAGTGGTGACAGTGGTGAAGTTCACGCTGATGGGTGGGGACAATGACAAATGTTCTTCCTTGTGTGTGAAATACTGGAGGCGCTGCTGTCCCCATTGATGTTATACTGCTCTCTAGATACCAGACTGGTGCCTCCCTCAGACCTCATGGTAGATGGGACAGGGACAGGCAGATGAGCCCCTCTCTCTCCTGTCATTCATGAAGGGCTGTTGGGGACCCTTGGTTCACAATAAATGTCACTTCTGATTAACAGTGGACTCTACTCCCTTGGTCTGACATTCAAACCCTCTTGTAATCGCTGTCCCTTAGCAGCTCTCCTGCCCTCCAGCACAAAGTGCCTTGCCTGGATTTGGTTTTGAGGAAGAGATCCAAGGGACAGCTTTGATTTATTTGGTCTCTGATGGGAGTGGTGGCACTGATTTCCTGGCTCTATCCTCTACTAAGAAAGGCTCCTCTCCCCAGCTGCATTTTGAATGCAAATCTTGTTCATAGTAGATCTGTAAGTAAATGCAAACTGATTCCTTTCTGACTCTTGAATCCCTTCTATGCTCCCTTAGTCCAAGGTTTGTGTACATAGGCTGGCTTGGCCATGAATAAATACAGCAGCTTCATATTTTCTTGCTGCTCTCAGGTCAAGAAAGCAAGGTGGGAAAGACATGATAACATTTCTCTCACCTCCTTCACCACTATCAGAACATTTTGCAAGCATTTGCCTGTTGCACAATAAGTCACTGACATCTACTGTGTCTGTTTTTTGTTCCCCCTCCCTCACCCCAAGTTCTCTCAGCTCATTAAAATCTTCAACTCGCTGGGCCCTGAGAAGTTCCCCCTGGTGGAGCAAACGTTCTTCCCAAGCCATAAGCAGATGGTGAGTAACTTTGCTTTCTTCTGATGCCACTATGGATGAGGAGGAGACGACAGGAGGATGCAAGCTGGGCACAGGAAATGGTGGCGGGAATGCTGGGAAGAGTCTAAATTTTGCTTACAGAAAAATACCAGCTAAAAAGTGATAAGCAAAAGGCACTGCTTGGGAACCTCTTTCCTTTCGTGCCTAGCCCTGCCCCTCGGTCATGTGAGGACCCTGAAAAAATGTACAAAGAGGCTCAAAGGCTCAAAACTAAAGCAGAATTCCATTTTAAAACACAGTCAACAAAAAGCTCATCCCTTAGAGCAAAGAATCACTCTATTCAGATTAAGTGGATTTTCCCTACTCCTGGAATTGTTTAAAATATGCTGACAATTTGGAACATGGGCCCTAAGAGAGGTTTGTTTCACAACGTTAGTTCGCTTGGTCTGTCACGTGCTCACCATCCATGAAACATTTATCAGCCTGAAGGTACTCAGGGTAACTTGGAGTTCTTAAAAGAGTTTGTTTCAGCTTCTCATGTTTTCTTTGCACAGTGCTTTGGGGTCTGGTCTTTCTGTCAACAGCTGAACACTCAGTGCCCTGTGTGACTGCTGGGCACTGTACCAAACTCTCAGGGCACCTTCCAAAGAAATCTGCGTAGGTGCCTTTAGTCCTGGAGAACATGGCAAAGAGAGGGGCTTTGTTTACAGCTGGTCATGGCTCTTGTTTTCCCTGCCTTAAAGGAAAGACTAGTCCTTTGTGAGTTTTTGCTCCCAGCTTACATCCATGAATTAGTGGTTCTTCCTACATGGCTGAAACTTTGATGAAATCCTGTATGAACCATGACCCCCTGTGTGGCCACAGGCTGGCTGAGCTAATTTCCCAGGCTTGACTGTGAACACAAGCAGCATTGCCAGCCTGAGCATGAGGGCTGTTGAGATGTCAAACTAAGGCTCAAAAATATTTCATCCCGTCTTTTCTCACACTCTTGTTGCAACACTGTGGGCCAGCCACAACACAAAACAGGGTGTAGATACATGATCATCTAGTTTCTCGTGAAAAATCCCACTGCTGCCTGCTAGGTACTCAAATATTTTGGAATGCCAGACCTTCACCTCTCTGTTCCAATGCTCTCTCTGCCTGTGCTGTGTAGACTATGGCACCTCCATGCTTCACAGGCACATCGTGGAGGTAAGTACAGTCATGAAGTGGTATTATCATTTAAGACATAAAGAAATGGGTAGTCCTTAAACAATGTGACAGTGTTGTTCACATCTATAAGATTAAGTAGTCACACACCTGTTGCATTTAATTACTAATGATTTATGAAGAAGGTTTTGTGACATAAATAATGCTTTGGGACAGTTGTGACTTGGACCACCATTTCAGGAACAGTATTTTTGGAAGACTTGATAAAGGTAATCACTGCAAATAAGTTAGCACTTTTAGCACAATTTTCTTGTCTGGCTATCTGATTCTTGGTTCCTTATATGTAGATGTATTTGGTACCAGCAAAGTAGACGGGTTTAGCACTGATCTTAATTTCACTTACTTTCCATCTTCATAACTAATCACCTACTTGGAGATGCTATTACTTACTTCCAAAAGGGTACAGGAAGCCTTTTAAACTGCAGGTAATCTCATATGAACACAAACACTACTGCTGACATGCAAGCCTGAGTAATCTGGTTTAAATCAGTCACTTCCCAACAATTTACAGAAGGAACAATCCACTTGGGCAAGTTCAGGTCAGCCCTTCCCAGGTGACAGGGGTGGTCTGCCTCACAGAATCAATCTTCACAACTTATATCTTTTCTTGGAGCATCATCACAGAATCCTGGATTGTGGGAGTCTGAGAGGTAAAGTGCCTACACCAAGCATGCTGCATTACAGTCATCACCAAGAACTTGTGGAAGCTGCTTGTCCACTGTGCATCAGCTTCTCCATTTGACAGATAGGAATCTACTGATCCCCTTTTACCAGTCTTTCTCTTCACTCTCCGGGAGGTAATTCCAAGCTGTACCAGTGAGCACTCATAAAACTCACAGTGTTCCTTTGATGGATGACCCCCTGGAAGTGTTTATAATGAGTGCTATGGTTTTACCTCTCTGCAACATGACACATACTTTAAGCACTTAAGTTCTCACATAGGAGACCCTCATCCTTCTATATCCAAAATTTTCAATAGTCTACTTTCTAAATCTTTGGATTAAACAGAGAACAGATTCAAAGATCTCTTTCATCTCTGTAGAGACTAGATTTTCCAAGAGTAAAAAATGAGATGTAGGAAGTTTCTAACAGTAGGTCCATTTTTGTGAGCATTTTAATTTATCTGAAAATGCTTTTTCTGAAACTTCTTTCTCACGAGAATAGGGCACTCTAAATCAGCCTTAAATAGTAAGCCTAAAGAGAGGACACAAGATTCTGACATTTCACAGCAGAAAAGATGAACTTCACTTTTTCATGGGCATGCACCTTTCAGACCCCCCCATAATGATCAGTTTTCTGGAAATAAGAGCAATCTGGTAAGTGTTCTTCCAAGGACCTACTGGTGCTGCAGTCTTGCTCTGTACTGACCTCCTAGGCCAATTAACAACTGGGAGTCATTAACTTCAAAATGGGTTTTTCACCTCTCCTGGGCTTATGACCACAGTAACAATTCTTAGAGAGAACAACCTTTTAAAAAGAGGGGGGGAATCCTGAAGGGATCTTTGCCAAAGTGCAAGATTTGCCAGAGGTGGAATATCTCCTTTGGGACCAATAAAAGGGTATCAGGAAGGGGAAGGAAATTAATAAATCCAGTTGCAAATCCATTTGTGTACATTTGAAGTCGACAAAAACTAATATAAGTGAAGCAGAGACAGAATGTCTGTGATAGAAATAAAACCACTTTACTGTTTAGAATAAAAGGACACTATAAAAAGTGAACATTATGCAACATTACCTTAAAAGACAATATACATTCACTGAATATAAAATTTATAAATAACATGGAGGAAATCTGTAAACAGTGCTAGAAAATTTAGCAACAAATACATTCCTTCTGGACAAGATTTTTCACATGGGTTTGGTTCTCTCCCCAAGTTTCCGTGACTATCAGGAACAGCACAGTGGCTCTATGAAGGAAGGACAGTGTCAGAGAGAAGGAGAAGCCAGTACAAGCAAAACAGCAGCAAATGTTTAGTGGGTTTTCTGTTTTTTTTCTCAAGACTGGTAGCCCCAGAAGTTACTTACTCTAAAAAAAGACCAAAACTTTTTGCAGTTCCCTAAATTAAATTCTGTCCTCCTAAGTAATAAAGCACGTTATAAGCGAGCAGTATTTTCAGAGACATCTGCAAGGATGGAAACTTGTTCTCATGGAGGCCTTTATTTCCAACAGTCTTTACTGTAAAAACACAACAGTATGTTTCCCATCACTGTGAGGTAGCATTTCACTCTGACAAGTATGAATGGGATACAATGATAGATTTATTTTTTGGAATAGTCCTACCTAAAGGGCCATGTAACTCTTCAAAACATGGGAAATTGGGACTTAAAAATGGCTTTTTTTTTTTTTTTTTTTTTTTTCCCATACAAGGGAGGTAGAAGCCTCCCACAAGAGGACTTTACTTAAGGAACTCCATGCACAGATCTCCTCCCAGTCTCTACCCCCACCGCCCCCATTTTGGAAAAGGCAAAGAGAATCTAACCTTTCCTGAACCTTCAATATCTATTTTTGTCATTTTAAAGGGGAAAACACTCTACAGCAAGGAAGGGAGAAAATATGCATAAGAAACTGAACAGCTTCTGTCTAGAAATTAGCTATGCACTTTTAAAAGTATTTTTAATAATGTTTGTGTGTCCAAAGCATGGTGGCAGGGAGTGTGTGTGTAATCCTGAACATCTCCATTGGCAGGCAGAAGTGACTTAGCAAGGCAGAAGAAAGGAGAGCTGACAGAAAGGAAGAAGTCTTTGAGTCCAATTTAGATCCTGTTCAATCCATGTAATGGCTTCCACTTACGGAGTGCCTTCAGGCAGCTCCTTAATGCAAGCGCAAGCCCAAGAAATGCATGTCCCTGATAGCATCCACAGAAACAAAATAAAGAAGCTTCCCAAAAGAAATGTATTTTCACTAGATTCTTCCCCCTCCTTTCGGCTTCACATTTTGAAAAGCCTTAACAACTGTTTCTTTACACAGCAAGGGCAAAGATTTGCCACCAAACCTCTGTCCCTGCCCATCTAGCTGTCTTCATCTCAGAAACAATTTACCGTCTGCAAAACAAAGTGGAAATATGCTTCACTTTCTGGTAATGCATCTACTGTTTTGTTGTTTACAAAGCACATAGCTACATTATATCCTATGTAGGGACAAAAGTCCTCATAGTATTAGAACGCAAATATTTTCACAATAATTTGAGTGCAATACTGTGATGTCTCAGCTAGCTAAATGAATCAGTGGCAGGTAAAATATGCAGAGCTTCAGTTTAATGAAAATTCAAATCAACACTTTACTGCATTGAGGGGCATTTTTGTTTAGCCTTCCAAAGCTGTGAGAAGTGGCTGCAGCTCAAAGAGACACCGGCTTTGCCAAGTCACCTAGAGCTTGAGGAGGGCCACATCCTGCAATGCCGACTCCAAACAATGCAAACGCTGAGGGCAGCTCCATTCTGCCCTCAGTGACCCTCACAAGATTTTGTCAGCCATGCAAGATTTGAACAGAGATTGTTCCACTGGGCCCAAAGCCCAAAACCATATTTTGCCAAAAGGAATAATTTTCTGAACCACCACCACCACCTGATCCTGTGATAGGTGTCATGAATCACCCTACTCTCCCTCTCATCTCCAGCCCATTATTTAGGAGTAGTCACAGGGAAGAGGACTTCTGAGAGTGTTCCAAATCTAAATCACAGGAAAATCCAATAAACTTTCAATGTGTTTTGTGCTGCATTGCCACTCAGAGCTGGAAAAAAATATATGCAGCAGACCTAGGCTCTTCTTACAGCAGTTCTGTGAAAATGCCCTTTAAAGTTCATGCTAAAAAT